CAGAATCCTTACGAGGAACTTTAGGTGCTGCATCATCACTAATTCCAGACTGTTTCTGTCTTCGCCGCTTTTTGCTCCATAATTCATGACAATCTTGCCAGTGTGGTAGGCTGCAAAGAGACAACATTCTTACAGTTGGCACAATAAGGATTGGCACTTGCATATGCCCTTCATTAGCCTTGCTCAAATTTCTATAATCCGAGATTGCTGATTCTAATACTGCTTCAAGCAGTTAGCCCCACTACAAATTCACAGCCAGCAACTACTTTTGCTTATAATGGAGCCCCACTACAAATTCACAGCGAGCAACCTCTTTTGCTTATAATGTAAATATAAAATAATCCTTTTCAAAAAACGTTCATGATATCTAAAAGGCATACTGCACTTCGTAGAGGAGGTTGTAGGAGCAGGGTTAAGGTAATGAATACATCGAGGTGGAGACAAAGATAGTGATTAAGCAGGATACAGTTTACATAGGAACAGGTGCAGGCCAACTAGCTTAAGTACATTTTGCCAGTCAATTAGATCATGACTGATCTTAAGTCCATTGTTTTGGTTTCATAATAATTAATAACCTTGCCTATCAAAAATGCAACATTCAATTTCCAATTTACATAAATTCAATTTTGTGGAGGATACAATTCCAAGATTCCACTCCATTGTGTGAAAAGGCACTTTGTAGGATTTCAGTGTCAGTAACTGGGGACCTGTATTTATTACCTGTCCCTAACTGCCCTTAAGAAGATAGCAGCGAGCTCTTCTACTGAACTGTTGCAGTCCATGAGGGGTATTTATTCCCACAACACTGTTAGGAATAGAATTCCAGGATTTTGGCCCAGGGATAGTGACACAGGTAAACAACACAAAACCAACATGCACAATTCATGCAAATTCTCTTTGGTTCATCAGACAGCGCTGTTGATTGTCAGTGCTCCCTTTTTATTACCCCACATTGTACCTTAGATTAAAACCTTAGCCACTACCATTGTTAAACTAACTATTCTGTGCTTACTAGTACTGTCTCTACATCCTTTCTTTACCAAGGGTGTCTGATTTGTCATTCAAATCCAGTTTAGTTGTACTAACATACTCAAAGTTGCAACAAAAACAAACCAGTTACAGAGTTCTAGTGGTCTGGTTTGTCCACATTCCCTTTGGAGAAATCAGCATTAGGGCTTCTGGCCCCACCAATTCAATAATTAGTTACCTGGGTTGGGGAGCATTAGACACATAAAGCAGAGTGGACTACTCTCTCTCTGCCCCAGTGTGGTGAGAAAAATACAAAGAAAGCTATACTATCAAAAGGAAGGGTAGGTGAGGCGGGGTGGGGGGGGCTCCTGCTAAAGTGCATACCTACAAGAGGGTATTAATTGTCCTTCCACTGCTTTTCCAGGAACTATCACCATTTCTCCACGATCAGCACATTTGCAACAGAAGGGAAAGAAATCGGGGGTGTCAGCATGCTGTGGGCAGCAGGTTGGGAAGAAAATCTAGATCAGGATGGGAAGCAGCAGTGTACAGCCCTGGTCTAAACCTCTGAATATACCAACTATTTGCCTGCTTAACTGCCCAGCTCAAGTCACTGTAAGTGCAATACTTCATAGAAGTGGCAAAAATAAAACCACAGAAAGGGGCCATTCAGTCCATGCCCGCAATGGCTCAATGAACAATCGCCCATGCTAATCCCACATACCAGCATTTGGTCTGTAGCCTGGCAAGTTATAGCACTTATGGTGCAGATCCAATGTCCTTTTAAATGAGTTGAGGCATTCACACTTAACCACCAAGCTGAGCAGTGATTTCTAGACACCATCACTCTTTGGGTGAAAAACTGTGTCAGATCTGCTTTAATTCTTCCACTAATCATCTTAAATCTGTGCCCGCTGGTAACTGACCTTCTATAGCTCTAGAATTACATTCCTGCTTTTGTATTCAATACCTTGTCCAATAAAAGGAAAACATCCCAAATGCCTTCTTTACCAACTTATCAACCTGTCTTACCACCTTCAGGAATCTTTGGAAGGCACTTTATGGCTTCTCATTTCCTTTACCCCTCTAATAGCCTCTCGTTTATTGTGGAATTAGACCATAAGACATAGGAGCAGATTTTAGGCATTTGGCTCATCAAGTCTGCTCTGCCATTCAATCACGACTGGCTGATAGGTTTTCAACCCCACTCTCCTGCTTTCTCCCCTTAACCTTTGATCCCCTTGACAATCAAGAACCGATCTATCTCTGTAAAATCCCTTCCTTAGTTTGTTCCCCACAAATGCGTAAACTTCTATTTCTTCAGATTAAATTCTATTTGCCACTCTTCTGCCCACACAACAAAACCTTTCTGCAGTAAACAACCATCCACTTCTTAATCATCTACCAGGCCAGTTTTTGTGTTCCCTGCAAATTTCCTAATAATGCCTCCTACATTTAAGTACAAATCATTAATATACACCACAAAATAGCCAGGAACCTAAAATTAAACCCTGTCACTGATCCGATTTTGAATTCAACTCACCATTCTCCCTACATCCCATGGCTTTAATTTTTCTTAGTAGTCTACCATGTCAAATGCCCAATTTAATCCATGTTTGACAACATCCCCTGCATTACCCTCAAAAATCCACTGGTACTTCCTCAGAAAGTTTAACTTCTTCAATTTCCATTAAAAGAAACAATGCTGAGTACTCCAGATTGATCTATATCTATCCAAGTAACTGTTAATCCTTTCTCTCAATATTGATTCCAGTAATTTTCCCACCAATGAGGTCAGACTGGCCAGTCTATAATTATTTAGCCTATCCCTTGCACCCATTTTGAATAACGTTGGCAGACCTCCAGTCGACTGGTACCTTGCTTGTATCTCTTGAGGATTGGAAGATGATCCTCAGAGCAGCTGCTGTTTCCTACCTGGCTTCCTTTAGCAGCCAACTAAGTTGTAGTTGTAGAGTAGGTTGAATGGATATTAGCACTTCTCAACTGGCACTTACGGCACTACAGTGGTTAAAATGGTACAAACTAGATAGAGATAAAGTGTTGAGCTGGAGGAATACAGCAGGCCAGGCAGCATCAGAGGAACAGGAAAGCTGACGTTTCGGGTTGGGACCCTTCTTCAGAAAAAAAAAACTAGATAGACTTCCTTTTTGTTCTCATCTTAGAAATTCCCATGTCATATTACTAACGTGCTTAGCATTTTGAGGGTGACTTACTCAGGTGGAGGCATTTTCGTAGGATCCACTTCTCTCAGGAAATCGGACTGAAGGGCATGTTCAGCAGTGCAGCGTTTACTGGGATCCAAAGCTAACATGTGATCAAAGAGATCCAGAGCAGTTGCTGGAATACTAGAAAAAAACAATTGCAAGTGGAAAAATAACCAAACCTCAATCTTCAGAAATCTCAGACACAAACACACAGCATACATGAACATTATTGATTCTACTGAAAAAGACCACAAAGGGTGCCATCTCTAAACTTATGAAAGCACCAAGAAAATAAAAACATGGTAGATACACTAGGCTCCTGAGTAACTAAAATGGGATTCAAACTCTCCTTTGAAAGGATGGATCTTAACAACACGGAGCAACAGATCACTAGAGCAACACGCATGCATCCACATTAGTTGAAACTAACAACCAGAAGATTTCACACAAGAGAACAAGAATGTTAAGGGAGCTTAAAAGGTGACAACTGATGGTATTCAGTCCAATGACCTGGCATTTATGCACGTAAATACCAGTAATGTTTGTCTGATCTACGTGCTAGAGAAGATCGGCATGTCTGGCAGCCTCTGTGGATAGAGAAATAGAGCTAACGTTTGATTTCAGTAGGTCTCTTCTATGGAACTGAAAGGAGTTGGAAAATGATCGTTTTATGTTACTGACAGAGGGGAAGAGAACTCAAACAAATGGTGATCACGCACTATACAAAAACAAAGGCAATGATGGTAAAAGATGTAAATGCTAGCTATGGAAAAGTGTCTGCTCTGCTGAAGACATGGCCAGCAATTCACAATCAAGGCATGGCCAGGGCAGTGTGGGGCATATAAGAAAAAAATGGTGTACAGAGGTCATATTCTGAAGTTGTAGAATTCAATATTGATGCCTAGAGGCTGTGAAGTGACTAGGTGTAAAATAAGGCTTTATTCTTCCAGCTTGCGTAGATATTCACTGGAATAATGTAGTAGTCCAAGGATGGAAACGTAAGCATGAGAGCAAGGTGGGGATTGTTGAAATGGCAAGCAATCAGAAGGTCTGGGTTATACCTACAACAGAGCAGAGATGTCCCATAAAGCAGTCACCCAGTTTCTACTTGATCTCGTCAATCTACATTTGAGCAGCAAATACAGTAGACTAAATTGAAAGAAGTGCAGTTATAATGCTGCTACACTGGATCACATGTTTGGGGCCCTGGTCGGGAAGAGGGAAAAGGTGAACGGGCAAGTGCTGTACCTTTTCTGATTGCTTGGGAAAGTGCCATGGGTGAATGAGGAAGATTGGGAAGTGACAGAAAAGTGGACCACAGCATCTTGGAGGGAATGGTCCCTGCAAAATGCAGATAATGGAGAGGGGAGTAAGATATGTTTGGTGGTAGTATCCTGCTGGAGGTGGCTGAAATGGCAGAAAATGATCATGTGAATGCAGAGGCTGGTGGGGAAAGGGATGGGGGTAGGGCAGAGTGCATGAGATGGGTCAGGCACCGTTGAGGACCCTGTCAACCACGGTGCAGGAGAAAGAGAGACAAAAATCCTCAGATGAGGATAAAAGAGAACATGTCTGAGGGACCATGGTGGAAGGTGGCATTATTGGAACAATGCAACGGAAAGGGGCAAAACAGAATGGGGTCCTGACAGGAAGCAAAGTGAGAGCAAATACGATCAAGGTAACTGTGAAGGCCGGTTATTTTGTAATGAATTATTTGTGGAAAGCATACTCCCAGAAATGGAAACAGCAAAATCAAGGAAGGGAAGAGTCAGAGATGGACCAGGTGAAGGTGAAAGGAGGGTGGAAATTGGAAGAGAACTGGTTCACTTTTTCAATTCCAGACGAGAGCAGGAAGTAGTATCACCAACATTATCAATGTACTAGAGAAAGATTTGTGGGCACATTTTCTCACCCCCAACCCACACCATGGTGAAGAAGTGGCAGCCAGGGTCAGAACTGATCTAAAGCTTACAAAAGAATCACAAGTAGAATTAAGTTAGGAAAAAATATGTCCAAAGCAGGAACAGGCTGAAATGATTGGTCTGCCAGGGTAGTCTGACCTGTGGATTTTGGGAAGGAGGTAAAAGCAGGTAGGGTTGGATTGGCAGACAATCAAGTGGGAAGCTGTAGAGGGAAAATATCCAGTAGAGATGAGATCAGTGACAATCCTGGAAACAACAACTTAATATTCAGTGGTAGGGTTATAAGCCCAGGGAAGAAAGGACGAAGTGACTGATATTTGGAGCTCAGTTTCTGCAAGATAGAACAACCATTGTCTTTTAGATTAGTAGAGAATATATATGAACTGAAATGATAATAGGTTTGAGGGAATCTAATCATGTTCTAAACTGACAATTAAGTCAGAATTTATTTTCTAAAATTAGAATGCTGAAGGGAAGTGGAAGAAAACATTCATGGAATGGAAAACATTTGTTTCCATAGTACTGACCTGATTTTACCTAGCTTGCTGGATTTTCCTCTTAAATTCACTAAAAATCTAACCAAGCTCCCTAAATAAGTAAGCAATATCGTCCTTCCTTATATAGTTAAATTAAGTCTCTATAACACAATTTAAACAGGAAATTGGCATTTGTCAATTCATCAGTACTACCTCTTCAACCTACTGTAATCACATTTCTCTAGCCTATTCCATATCCTTTATATTTCCGTCTTTTAAAATACTTAATCCATCCCTTATAAATAATGATAGATACATTTTAACAGCTACCTGTGGTAAAGCAATCCATGTTTCAGTAAATTTGAAATAATACCTAACTTGTGTCTCCAGTCTTCTAGTATCCCTCAATCTAATTCCCCTTGTTACAGATTCACCATCGAATAGAAACTGTTACTCACTATTTATCTTTTAAATCCTTCAGTAATTTTGAAACTTTCTAGATCTTTCCTCAAGCAACTTTAAGCCAGGAGGAAAATTTGTCTTCAAACTTCCGTAAAAAAGCAATAACCTTTCACTTCTGATATCTAATTCAAGAAGGGTGTATTAGGAGGACAGTGGAATGTACAGGGTTAGTAAAAGACTGCACCAATAATCATCCAGATTCTGACGTGCATCTTCAGTAGTACACTTACAAAGAATATTCTTCTCTTAATCTTCTGCGATATTGCTTCTTTGGTTTCATGGTATGGAAGTAAGGTAGTTTAATCACATCAGGCCACACCGCTGGACACGGGCTACCACAGATTCGGCTATTGGAAAAATATGAAACAAGATGAACGTCCACAACTGTTGTTCTGTAAACAGTACTGCTTTCACATTGGGTTCCCCTGCCTTGGCTTATCTAAAGTTAGTACTGGTATTTAAACCCCAAGTACTACTTCACCCACATTAAGAAACCAACACGTAGAGTGTGACTGGCAAAAACTTTTCCCTTTTGTCTTGGTAAGGTATGTTACTGCATGTTCAGGAGGTTCAAATTAAAGTGCCTGTTACCTAGTGCACAAGATCCTGACCTAAAAGTTGTAGCCATTGAAGAACCAGACTGTGAACCACAATGTCAACAAATTTCAAGTGCATTATGTAACGTAATAGTAAAGAAGAGCTCCGCCCGAGTAGAAATTAGACTATTGTTTCATTGTATTGCTCTGAAATGGTTGCATGACAAATAATTGGTTATGTCATGCAATTTGTTGTGCCCCAGCTGTAATGTTATTAAATGGCATTTCCACTTGAATTCTCCTCATCAGAAGCACCAGATCAACATCTCAAATCAAAGAAACCAAAGGATGGGAATTAGAGATCAATAAGAAAAGGTGGTTTACACACCATCTCAGCACATGGTTCATTTAGAGCTATTTTCTTGGCCAATAATTTAATAGTCAGCCACATTTCCCACAGGTGGATATTCACTATTATTTTGAACATTACTAAGTGGTTTGGTTGATGAAGGCAGACAATACACAGCTTACCACCACCTTCTCAAGGCCACGAGGGATGGAGAATTAGGTAATTGGCACTTAAAACTCTGATTGGTGTTCAAACATGTTTATTTCTCAACTGTGTGTGGGGGAGTTATCAAATTTAGAGGGTTAGGTTACCTTGATAATGTTGAAAATATGTGCTACCCACAACTTACATATTCACTTCATGAACAGGATGGTAATTTGATAAATCACAATCACGTTTTGGTACATTTTAGCCATGAGCATGTGCAATTGTCATGATTACAACATCTTTCACAGTATATAAAGCTTTTGACAATGCTTAAAATATAAAGAGCATGCAAAATATCGAGCAGGACATTTTCACATGCATTTTTAGATTCTCATGAAAAATATGTAACAAGATGAATGTTCACAGCTTTTTTTTTTTTTTTTTTTAAACACTATTGCTTTCATATGGGTTCCCCTGCCTTGGCTTACCTAAAATTAGTATTTGTATTTAAACCTCAAGCACTATTTCACCCACATTAAGAAACCAACAAGTAGAATGTGACTGGCAAAAACTTTTCCCTTTTGTCTTGGTAAGATATATTACTGCATGTCCAGGAAGTTCAAATTAAAGTGCCTGCTACCTAGTATACAAGAACCTAACCTAAGAGTCGTGATTTTGGGTTCAGCATTTTTGGGAGCACCCATATTGAAACTGAACAGTTAAGTTATTGTCAACTGAAATTTTAAGATAGATATTAAGGCAAAATGGCCTGACAACTCCAGCAAAGAACTGACAAATTGGCTTATGCAGCCTGATTTTAAATATGCCACATGCGGCAATGCAAACTCATACAGGATATGGGTATCCGTGTATACATATACCATCATAAAGGCTTGTGGCCCAACTGTAGAAAGGTGCTCAAATTGTTAATAGTAACAGATTTAGCTATATTCTCATTCTGATATTTATCCACCAATAAAATGTACCAGTTTTTGCAAAGCGCTGTACAAAACAAGTAGAGATAACTACAAAAAGAAATCAGGAATCAAGAAATATAAGTGAACAGCTGGGGCTCAGTCTGCAGGTTACCATATATGATAATGCATAACGCAAGGCAGGTGAGTTTCTTTTAAAATGGTATGTATTAATTTGAAGCATTAATGCTGACTGCAAATCTAAATACAAAAAGACTGAATTTTAAAGGACTTTTAAATAACAAGAGCGCCTACCTGATCAACTCCAATTGAGCAAGTTCTTGATTTGCTTGAAAGATAGGCTTTTTAGTAAAAAGCTCGCCCAAAATACATCTGTATGAAATAAAATATTAGCTTTAAGCACCTACATGCCCAGTTGTTTATAAGATGACAGAACACTTCGTTGTGATTTTTTTTCTGACATCCAATGTAGTGAGTGTAATGAGATCAGCCAAGTGACTCTTACAAAATATGAGTTTCCCTGATTGGATCAGATTAACAGTCACAATCAGGGAGTCCTGGCTGACATATATACGAGTGTCAAGGGTTCGACTCACTCTAGGAGCCGGCTCTGTGTCATGTACTATGCATGTGTAAGTAAAGGGTGCCTCGGTGACAGGATACTGGCCTCTGCGGGGTTATTTCAATAGCGATGAGTGGGATTAATGATGTGACCATGCAAAAACACCTACTAGCTGAAGCCCAACTGGACTTCAAACAGGCACTACAAGTGGCTTTCTCATTGGAAAATGCAGCAAATGCAGGTTATGAGTTACAGGATCCACCAATGTAAGTCCACACCCTCGACTAACTGACTGAGAATGAGGAACATCACTTGAATGAAGGCAATTGCAGAGCCTCAATCAGGATATGTCCTGAACAGTGGGACCCTATCTCAGCCCACAGCAAAAACCCAAAACAAAGCCAAGCATTGGCCAAACAATTAAAATTTTCTTGAGGATCCTGGCAGGCAGGCAGGCCATTGTAGTTGCTGTTGGTATGTGGACTTGAGACAGCAAGAGTGTCCCATTAGGCCTGAACTGAATAAGAGAACTCATAGCCTCGTATCTTGGAGAGTGAACGCCCTGTAAAGTCTATCTGCAGCTGGTTTGGAACAGATAAACTGTTTAGCAACATCCAAATCAGAACCAATCAAAATAAACATATGGCTAAATGGTCACCCAGTCCAAAAGGACACTGATACCAGCATAGCTGTATCAGTGATAGCGGAACCAATCTTTACCAAAATTCACTCCAACCCTTATGTTTGCTTGTGACCTCAGGCAGGCTGAGAATCTAAACCAGGGAACTCCTACAGATTAAGGGTTCCAGTCCCTTATGAGAAGCAACTGGTTCGATTACCACTGATTGCAGTAAAAGGTTGGCCCCCAGCATGATGGAGCAAAATTAGCTGAGAAAGATTCAACTTAACTGGCTCAACATTTTACAATAGAAAATGGCCATCTGAGTGAAGTACTAAGTAAATACCCAGAAGATTTTCAGGAAGTTCTAGGTACTATCAAAGGGGCCAAAGGCCCCCTTGCATGACGACCTGGAAGCAATTCCACGATTCTAAGTCTGCTCAGTGCCATCTGCATTACGTGCAAACATTGAGGCAGGAATCAGGAGGCTGGAAAACGAAGGAATCATCAAACCATGTGGAATGAGCAGCACCAGTCAAACTAATTGTGAAGCCCAATGGGTGGGTTTGCCTTTGTGGGGATTTCAAACAAATAGTGAACTGCTTTTCACAGCTGATAAATACCCAATTCCTTGCAAAGAAGGCTCAAATGTAAAACTGGCAGGGGTGGAGCGAGACATGAGCCAGGTGTACCTGCAATTCCAATTAGATGAGGATTCCCAGAGGTATGCTACAATTAACACCCTTAAGGTTTGTACCAATATACGAGATTGCCTTTTGGGGCATCATCAGCCTGTGCTATTTTCCAGTGGACAACGAAGAACATTTCACAAGATCTAACCCAAGTCACCATTTATCTGGCTGATGCACTAATAAACGGAAGACCGATTAAAGAGCACTTACAGAACTTGGAAATAGTGCTTAAATATTTCTCTTAAGCAGGAGTACATCTTAGTGGGGAGGAGAAATGGGTGTTACAGGCACCCCAAGTGACCTACTTGGGCTACCGAGTCAACAAGATCACGTTACACCTCTCAGAAGATAAAATGAGGACGATCAAAGCTGCCTCGGCTCCGAGAGAGGTTTGGCCTCTCCTTGGGTTGGTGAATTGTTACAGATACTCGTATATAACCTCACCTCCATCCTGGCACTTTTACATTTGCTATTGAAAAAGGGCCAGCCTTGGAAATGGTCTCATAGCCAAAGATGTAGTCTTTAGGGAAGTGTACGCAACTATCATCATCTAAAGTGTTGGCACACCATGATCCCAAGTGAGATATGGTGCTGACATGCAATACCTCCCCGTATGGTAGCGAGGTAATTTTGGCTCCCTGGTGGCCCAGCGGAGGGGAATGCCCAATAGCGCATGTTTTCCAAATTCTGGCTGATGTTGAAGGAAGATATGGCCAGATAGAGATAGAAGGTTTGGTAGTCATCTTTGGCGTGAGAAAATTCCACTGATACCTTTACGAATGTAAATTTATAATGGTAACAGACCACAAACCCCTGCCAGGACTACTTAAAGAGGACAGGACAGTGCCGCCCATAGCTTCAGATCAAATTCAGCAGTGGGCTCTTATTCTGAGTACGTACAGTCACAAGTTGGAACACTGTCCAGGAGGCTAAGTGGTAAATGTGAATCAAAAACAGAAGTTGCTGGAAAAGCTCAGCAGGTCTGGCAGCAGCTGTGAAGAAAAAAAAAAATCAGAGTTAACCTTCCTCAGAACTGGACCCGAAATATTAACTCTGATTTTTTTTCTTCACCAGATGCTGCCAGACCTGCTGAGCTTTTCCAGCAACTTCTATTTTCGTTCCTGATTTACAGAATCCTCAGTTCTTTCAGTTTTTATTTGGCAAATATGGATGCCTTGAGCGGACTCCCAATGGCAGATACACCACCAGTAGTGCCATCATTAGGAAGAGTCTGCTGTGGTTTTAAACTTTCTCGACACCCTTCTGGTTACCACTGACAATATCAGACTGACCACGAAAAGATCCCGTCCTGGCAAAACCACAACAGCTGGTGGTGATGGGGGGGGAAGCAAAAGCACCATCACAACTAGAACTGAAACCTTTCCAGACCTGGTAAGACCAGATCACCATAGAGCACGGCATATTATTATGGGGAGTAAGAATGATTGTCCCGAGCAAAGGTCACCACCAGATACTGGCTGAACTCCACAAAGGGTCTTCCAGGGGTTTCCAAAATGAAGATGTTGGCGACAAGTTAGGTCTGGTGCCCAGGATTGGATGCCAACAAAGCTGCATTGATGGGGTAGTGCATAGAGTGATGGAGTGAAGACTCTGCACCAGGTTAAATCTGATCGTCGCAGACATGTCTGGGGAGGTGAAATTGCACCAGAAACACCAATGCCGAACACAAGATTCCTCCAAGAAAGAGTGAGTCTACTTCACTAGACGAAGTTTGGTGTCAAAACCATGAGAAAGGCCCTGCATGGATAAAAGGCATGGTCGATGCGAGATCAGGTCCTGTGACTTATGAAGTTTTGGAACATGAGGCAATCTCGAACAAACATGTAGACCACACAAAAGCCGCAATCTTGCAAACAGGGCAAGAGCAAAACATACCCGGCCGCTCTGAACATCCAGCAAGGCTGTCAGAACCTGTGGTTTCTCCCCCTCTGTCTAGCGTCAAGAAACCTCGGAGGATGAGATGGATACAGCAGGTGGCACAGCCTCAACGCTGTTACTGCATGAAGATGAGTTTTGGCTGAGATGCTCTGGGTGCTAAAGGCAAGCTATGGTCCAGTACATGCCACCAGTATCCAAGGCAGAGTCAGAGGGATTGGATCTGGTGCGAAAACGCCCCAGGAGAAGCTTCAGCAGAATGAACGGGTTGACTTAGAGTGGGAGGGATATAGTGATTGGAACAATGTCAGCCAGGTGAATCTCACAAGATGAGTTCCCTTATTGGGGCGGTTAACCCAGTCCAATCAGACAGTCTCGGTTGACAAAGAAAATAAACAAGGGTGTTGGGTGTTCTACTCACTCTAAGAGCCAGTTCTGTGCCAGCTGGGTCAGCATCATCTACCGTGCTCGTGTAAATGAAGGGTTACATGGTGACGGGATACTGGCCTTTGTGGAATTATTTCAGCCAGCATGTATGAATCACTTACCCACAACTCCATACATCTATAGCTGGCGTATATCGCTCCTCCCCAAGCAAGAGTTCAGGCGGCCGATACCAGAGAGTAATAACTTTATTGGTGTACGGTCGACTAAAATAGTAATCAGGAGAACATAAACGAAGAATTAGTGACTCAAAATTTTAAGGAAGTATGAATTAAGCAAAACAGATAAAGGTTAAATTGACAGAAAGAAACACACCCAATCAATGGCCAAAAAAATAAGATTTTCTGTAACCTATCAATACAAGTATAATCTCATGATTCACAATTTACCAGGACCTCTCGACCACAAGAAAACATACCCAAATTTGCTTCTTCCTCTTCAGCCTGTATTTTTGTAACGTTTGTAGTGTCTTTGCAAACAATGGTTGTTTCAATTTTCATCTGGCATTTGACTGCTTCCCACCAGAACCTAAGGTTCTCCACAGTTAAAACTATTTCTAACAAAGCCGAGTTAACAGTTTCCCACAATTTTCAGTTCCCACAATTTTAAACTCTTATAAAAACTCCAAACTCATTCATGACCTTAATATTGGCCCAACATCGGACAGGACTTTCTACCATACATTTTAATTGGACACAGAAGAGGGCTCTTCATATCCAGTAGATGTTTCCTCTTGTGCATACAAAGTACTTCCACTGATCTCACTCCTGTCAGTGTCATTTTTATTTCCATTAATACTTTGAACTGTACTCAATTTCCATCTTTAATTCCAACAAATGTAGTATTCTACACAATCTCCATCCTTGCATTATCTTCAAGGGTTTAAATGCAGAGGCACTGCAACATATCCTATTCCAAAAGCATTTTCTCATGGGGGTCTTAAGATTTTTAAAACTCGACAGCAACGTTATGCAATCGTGACTGCTCAATACACTTCATCCCTCCTTTAAACCTTGGTTTAAACCTGAATTAAGAACCTTAGCACATTGCTCTGGTTTTCCAATTGGAAGACATGTACAGCAAACCTATGGGGCCAGGAGTGTTCCTTTTGATCAAATATTCCAGTTGATCAAGAGAACCACATAATCAATGTAAAAACACACTAAGTAACAGAAACAGAATGTAGGGGATATACACATCACTATTATACATTACTTACTACATTAACCACTTAAATAATGATGCAACTTTGCCTTAAATAAAACGTAACGTCTGAGAGTCTTCTCACTTGTACCCTCAACCAACTGTTTCTTAGTATCCCTACAGTGTGGAAACACGCTCTTCGGCCCAACATGTCCACACCGATCCTCAGAGAATCCCACCCAGAATCATCCCCCTATAACCCAGAATCCACCTAATCTACACATCCCTGAACACTAGGGGCAATTTAGCATGGCCAATCCACTAGCCTGCACATCTTTGGACTGTGGGAGGAAACCCACACAGACACGGGGCGAATGTGCAAACTCCACACAGACAGTTGCCTGAGGTTGGAATTGAACCCAGGTCCCTGGCGCTGAGGCAGCACTGCTAACTACTGAGCCACCGTGCTGCCTGTGGTAATACAGCAAACTTTCGGTATACGAAGGATATAATTTTTGCTGGTTTCTCAACAGTGGTGGTTCATAAGATGCTGGTTAAAACAAAGTTTGCTATATTATTTTCTTTTGCAAAAGCAACTTATGGTACATGTAACCAGTGAAAGTGCCACCCTGAATGAAGGAATACTGAAAACAATGGGCAGTTGAAAGAAAGAGCATCATATCCACCTTGCTCAACATAATACCAGTAAATGATTTAGATATGGTGAAAATCTACAATTGCAGAAGGAAAGTAAGTACATTACCACCAATATTGCTCCAAATATGATGAGCAAATTGGGCATTACATTGTAGATTTATTGATTTCTGTTTTGTGTGGACACTATGCTTGCAATTTTAATCCAGAATGCAAATCAAAAATGATTCTGGAACAAAGTCAAACATGATTCCGCAAAGAGTGCTGCCCCATGCAGATGCGACATGGAGTACAAATTCTGCGTGCACTACCATGATTTACAGTATTAATAGGGGTCAATCAACTTTGTTGGCACTTTTAAAGTGATATTAAGATAGTTGTTTGGAGCAGAATGATGCTCTTCTCCCTGCCTTATAAACATTCAGACTCCTAAAAGAGAACTAGGCACATGGTATAGCCAATCTTGCCTAGAGCTGTCTTCTGGACAGAATGGTTAGAATTCCAGCCCCAAAGCAATTAAGCAAAATAAACAGGATTCTACACGGCTAAATACAATCTGGGAATGTTTAAATAGTGAACTACAGCATCCGAGAGGTTGTTTGGAAAGGATGTGGTTGCTAATTATGCACGTCTATGATTAGTTACTTGAATAAAAAAAAACTATATTTGATAATAAAAATAAACAGAGACCAGGGTCAGCACAGCATCTTTGATGAGGGAATATCAAATGGTAGTATTCTCTTCTTTAGCAAAAATTAATGCAAGCGATTCATATAGTAACTCAACCAATACCTTCTGCCTCCAAAGAAAGATTCCTTTTACCATCTTAATTGGCCCCAGCTTTTCTTTTGATGGCCCTTTTATAAATTAAATGTTGATAGAAGACTTTTGAGTTCCCCTTTTATACCACCTAATCCATTCTCATACACTTTTTCTCACGTATTCTCTTCCTCAGATTTCCCCTGTACTTTCTACCTACAGCTCGGTTTCCTGTTTTATCATGAATCTTATTTTTTATCACTTTACTGTTTTATTTGAATCTCTAGACCTCTAGTTATCCAAGGGCTCTACCTTTGGATACTCTTCCTTTTCCATTTTTGGAGATGTATCTACTCATTATCAAAATCACTTCCTCTTTGAAGCCTGTCCCTTATTTATTTTTATCAACTAATCTTTGATTCTAATGTACCTGCACAAGATCCCTTTCCAGATCACTGAGATTCTCCCTCCCCCAGTTAAGAACTTTTATGCACGTTTGGTCCTTGTTCGCCAGGATCTTTACAGTACATTTGAAATCTGTGATAATCGAATTAAAGAGAATGTACTAGGTCGCATCAACAACCATGTCTGGTTAAAAAGCAGTGAGCCACATCTGTTGACAAGCTTCAAAACAAATAAACTACATTTCCAACTCATCAAAAGCAAGATTTACCGTGTTGATGATGCACTAAACAAGCTCACTGTTAAGACAACATGGAAACATCGTCAATTCATGCTTGACATTCATTTTATAATAGCAGAACGTACAAAATTTCCAGTACTGATATCTTATTACTACTTGTCTCTTTTAACTTGCCAAAAACATGAAAATTGGATTAATTTATTAGATAGAGGTGTAAAGGGATATGAAGCAAAGTTGTGTAATTATAGTGAGACACAGTTCTCACAAAGTTATTAGTTGTGTCCCTGAAAATTGTTAAAGTTAAATTACTTTAAATCAACGTACAGCTGGAGTTAGGTTCTGTAGGACATGCCTCATCCTAATAAAAAAGGCACTGTATATAGAACCTGTAAGCTGAAATATCTTAACATTGCTATATTCTTCTATTGGTAAATGGAATACTCCTGAAGTCTGATTTTAAATTAAAAGAAATATGGTAACTTTCTAGTTAAAAATACCTCCCACCTGCTGCCAATCTTGCTTCCTGAACCTCCAATTAATCATCTGTCCCACAGTCTGACCATCTTGGTCATTATGAATCTTTCCTCCTGCTGTCACTCCAATTGAAAGCCTGGTCTGTTCCAAATTCACATCTTACTGTCACCTTTCTGACTTGCAAGTCTCTTCTGCTCCCTGATTCACCTTGCTCTCAACAGATTTCCCATTCCCCACTTCTCTCATCCACTTTTTCCCTTGCCTGAATTCCTATTGTGGGCAAGAGCTCAGGAGCAACAGGAGGCAGGCAGTACAACTTCAATTTGATTCACAGAAGTTCAGGAAAAGGAACATTTAAATAAAAAGCAATTATAACAGACACAACCTCTGTAATTTTGGGACCTGAATTTTCATAACCCCGAAGTTCCAGCTTCAGGTGAGCTCTGTATCTAGAATGGAAACAAAAGCTATGGAGAGGGAAACGATAAGCAAGGGAATGGGAGAATAGGAGGGGCAGCAAGAACAATAATCAACAAGTGGGTGAATCAGGAGCCATAAATTGAAGGATCACCACCGAGAGTGTGAGTATGTTACAACAGACGTCACAGGTTGGAGGGTCGGCAGCATAAGAAGCAGGAAAGGGTGCTCCAAAATGGCAAATAGGTCACACATCCCTTCATCAGACCTGGCAGGAAATGACTTTGAAGCTAATCTTGAGAAATTGAACAGACAGAAACCACTAGCATGTCGATGTCAAATCAAGACAATGTTAAAAGGGACTTATTGCACACATCAACCACGTTGACAGATGAAACATGCTTGAGGGCCATATCCTTGAGAAGGTTCAAGCATTTTAAAGCCAATATGAAATGTTAAACTTTATAATGTCACAAACCTTTCCTCTGAATTGTACAGTCGAGCCAGTCCAAAGTCAGCAAGTTTTATCTGTCCCCTGGTGGTAGAGAAAATTACATTTAATTCATGATACGTTTAAATCAACCTTTGGTTGGTTGAACAATACCTCTGGGATATGGTATGAGTACCAATATTTTCAATACATCAACAATGCAACTCCATCAAATAGGCAAATTATATAACATTTTGTAACCTAACAGTGTAAGTTTTAAACCACACATGAAATACATTAAAGAAAGTGACAAAAATCGTAGTCCTTGATACTGTAAAGTGCTTATCATAATCGACATCAGAAGGATGGACACACAATTAAAAGACAAATTCACCATATTTGGAGAAATCAAGGATCTTTGACTGCATTTTAAGAACTGACATATTTAATGAACCATAACCACAGTAAGATCCCGAGCTTTTAAACTGATTGAGGCAAGCCAGCATAGAAGTAATGCAAGTGCAATTAGTTCAAGAGAAAAAGGGGCAAGGTAGAGATGAAGGGGTCAACCATTTTTAGCTCGACAAAAGGAAGGGGGGAGCAAAGAATCACATAGACCAGTGCACACAGGCTAAAACGACAGTCAAACATACAAATGCCAAATCACACAAGACATGTAAATAAAGTTCTAGGCTTTCACAAAGTAATTAATGTATCTTTTTCAGAATATATTTCTTAACATGCTTGATAAACAGGAAAGTTCTTAAGCGAAAGAGTTTTTCAAGAGCTCACAAAATGGATATCATTTATCTCAATTCGTTCTCAGTGTACAGATACTCACAGAACAAAAGCCAAAGTATGACCCAGATTTAATGCCACTAAAGACACAGCTATCAATCATACGATTAAGGGCCCAACAGTGCAAATTACTGAACAGAATCTGGATGTACAGAGTTCACCATACACCCGGCTTGCAAAGTGTGTTAATGGTTTGATCATGTAAATTTAACTAACACCTAAAACAAAGCCAGCAAAGCTGGCATGGATCCATTCCAACACACCATAGTTGAAATAGAACCAGTTTTTGGCAAAGTTTGGGAGGTTGCAAGGCAGATATAATTCAGAGCCAAACTCAATCTTGTCGACTAAAATACTGACAACTTCTAGAAACAATGGATAATCATCCATAGCAATTGCTCACCCACTAAAATTGCCATTCAATTAGTAACAGCCAATTTAACAAAACATTTGAGACCTGTATATGGATCACTGCAATGTCGCACAGCACACCTACCCAGAGTTACAAGGGAGAACATGAAAACCAAAACATAAATCGATCAACTAGAAAAACTATTTTTAAATTCAAAAATCATAAAAATGCAGAAAATAAATCAGCATATCAGACCTCTGAATAAAAAAATACTAGCACTCCCATAATTCTTCAACAGAACAGTGTTCTACCAAAATCAATACTTGTTTATCCCTCTCCACCATCTACAAGGCACAAGCCAGAAACATGATGGAATACTCCCTCTGGTCTACATGAGTACAGCAGCAATACCTAAGAAGAAACTCGATAAAATAGAAGACAAAACAGCCCCATCTACAACTGGCACACACTGATAATCATTAACTAGTTTCAGTGCAGGTATACACACCTCCTTTGACAAATTCACGACCTCTACCACCTAGAAAGTCAAACTAGCAGATGCATGGGACCTCTACCACCTGCAAGTTACACATCATCTTGATTAGGAATGAAATCCTTGTTCCTTCACTGTTCCAAAATCCTGAAACTCCCTACAACCACCCCGGACAATGCTGTGTGTACCTACACAACATGGACTTCAGCAGTTCAAAATTGTAGTTCATCACCTCTTTTGAAACTAAATGCTGACCTGGCCATCTACACTTGCACCAATGAAAGAAATAAAGAAAACCGTTTTTCAGGGAAAGAAACCCATCATCTTTACTTGCTCTACATTACCATAATCCCACACCAGCACTGCTCAACTTCAACAAGCAAATAACACAACTGCAACTACAACATCTTCTCAGGATTACATAGAATATGTGGCCCAGCAATAGACCAATATACTCTATTTGTGCTACTGTTTTATGCTGACTTGAGCCTCTTAAAATCTTTCCTCATTTGCATCAAGTCATATCTTCCTGCTCCATTCTCCTTCAAATGACTGTCCTTCCCCTTAAATGTAACCACACTGGGGCAGTAGATAATATGCTCTCATGAGGCTCCTCCTGAGATTTTCACTGGTAAATTTATCAGAACAAGCTGGCAGAACCAGCCTGTGATTGGAGAAGCAGCTCCTCACCATTTACTTCATAATACTTACAGGGGCGATTTCTCGCCAATTGGTTCCTCTTGAGCGTGAGTTTTCTCAGGCATTTGGGGTGATTTTGTGTACTTTTGAGTTCTGAGCTATGCTATTCACTTCAACACTTAATCTGTGGTAGCACGAACAATCATAGATCATCACAGAATCATAGAATCCCTACAGTGTGGAAACAGGCCCTTCGGCCCAACAAGTCCACACCGAACCTCAGTGTACCCCACCCAGACCCATCCCCCTATAACCCACGTAAGCTACGCATCCCTGAACACTACGGGCAATTTAGCATGGCCAATCCACCTAGCCTGCACATCTTTGGACTATGGAAGGAAACCGGAGCACCCGGAGGAAACCCACGCAGACACGGGGAGAATGTGCAAACTCCACACAGACAGACATCTGAGGCTGGTATCGAACCTGGGTCCCTGGTGCTGTGAGGCAGCAGTGCTAACCACCGTGCCACCCCAAATCTTGTAACACATTGGGTAAAGAGGTTTCTTCTGAAGTTATAGGTTAACTAGTATAACAGCTTGAGAAACAGGAGCATGAGTAGGCCCTCAAGCCTGCATGTCATTCGACAAGATGACAGCCGATCTTTCCTAGGCCTCAGCTCCTCAATTTGTGCCAGCTACTCATCGCCTTCAGCTCCCTGAAATTTCAAAAATCTACCTCCTTTTTAAATACTTTCAGTGATCTAGCCGCCACGACTCGGAGGTAATGAATTCCAGGCATTCACTATCCTCTAGGAAAATAAATTCCTTCAGGTCGCTGTTTTAAAGAAGTGTCCCCTTATTCTGCACCATTTTCCCTAACTTAAGGTTCCCCTGTTATTGGAAACATCATCTCAACATATACCCTATCCTGCAGAATCTTTCGTGTTTCAATAAGATCACATCTCATTACTCTAAACTCTAACAAATAAAGGCCTAAGCAATTTCATCATTCTTTATAAGGCAACATCTTCTTCCCAAGAACTCGCTAGTGAATGTCTTGAATGTAGGGGCCAAAACTGTACACAGTGGTCTGATTGACCTGTAGAGATGTGACAAAACCTCCCCATTTAAAAACATGGGTATGAAGCCATAGTTTACAATGGACCATAGGCAAATCTCTCCATCAGAAAGAGACAGTTACAGGTAGCTTAAAGGTAACAAGTCCACAAGAGTGGGGTAAGGTGAGGAGGCAGTGTTGTGGCTTTGCACAGTGCTCATGAAACGTATTGTCAAATTAGTTGTCAGTTACTTGATTTTCTGCCAGTCAGCAAGCCATGCTCAATAATCTGATAGTTACTCACTGAAGCAGCAGGGGCACATGGGCACAGGTTCACTTCTGGCGCTCAATATTAAGCCTGTTTGCTCTCTGTTCTATGCACACAAATTCAATCACATGTTCCTTTTAAAATGTTTAAAAGGTGGCATAATCCAAATACAGGGAGTCCTCACAAAGTTGTAGTTAGCTAACTAAAAGAAGTAGCAGTATTTAAGTAAAGTGGCTTTAAGTGAATCAAAGGTTTCCATTGGAATCAATGAAGTTGGGCTCCTTTGGACATTTTGCACCGAGACAGCAATGCACAAGTTGAAACAGTGCATCATACACTCTCAGCATTATGATTCCCTCGTGGAAATAACTTACAAAATAAAAGATATTACTAAATATTAAAGAGACAGAATACATGATATTTTACACAATTACTCACCACAGTACTTTTAGATTGACCAAGTTCCATCTAGTGGCAGAAGGTGACTAGTGCAGGTAGCACTGAGACCAAGGACTACACAGACCGATTAATTTCTGTTACTGGATAGATTAGAATTTCAGTACGAGTTCAGAATCGGGGCTAGGAGAAGAAAGAGGCTGAAGAAACAACCCCAGGGTCTAAGAAAAGAATGGAGGCTAAGAGGCAAGGATGGGAAGGAAAGCCTAGGGAGCAATGCCTGCAGCAGGGGAAGAGATACTGAATGTGAGGGTTTAGTGCTGCTGAAATGGCGATATTCACACTCAGGCCACAGAAAAGCAAGTGTGTGGCAACTATGCCGTAATGAAACTGACAACTTTAAATAGATATGTTGACTCTATTTCGTTAGCAACATTAAAGTGAAACAACATCAAGTGAGTCAATGTTAAGCAGAAATTTATTGTATACCTCTGCCATAACTACTAAGAGGAGCAGGAAGAGGTTGGATAAGCACTTCAAAAGGAAGCCTGTCAGAATCAAAAAAGTTGGAATTTTGCCAAAAGACAAAACATTCTCATTACTGGTAACAAGATAAATGGAAAATAAGCACAAAATACTTAATACAATCAACCTTTGCTTTTAAATATTCACTGGACTGATATCCTTCATTATTGGATTTAGCCCAGAGAGGTTTAATAACTGTCAAACAAGTAGGATGAGATCAGTGAAATGAAGATGTAATCCTAATGGTTGATAAATGCTGGAACAATTTCAGTAAACTGAAGTAAGCGAATGAGAGTCGTTGCCACAGAGCAAACAAGAAAAGCAATTATACCTTTATGTTAATAAAAATGACCAGGCACAAACATGGGGATCACCTATATAACTGGAGGCTTCATGATTTGAGAAGGAATAAAAACTTCACGAAAACATTGTAGAAATCCACGTATACCACATTGAGGCTTTCCACGGTCCAATTAGCATGTGATTTAAAGGAGGCTGATGAGACACCTGGCACCCCACCAATATTAGCTACATTAGACAGCATTATGTTAAGAGCAGCACTTTAGGAGCAAGGTCTCAATTCGGACAGTGGAATGGGCTATAACATTTAGATGAATGAGAAAGTAATACACCACGGCAAATCTAAACTGTGGTCTGAAATACAGCATGCCTCAAAATAAAAATGAGGAAGCTCAGATTTCTGTAACTTAGTGCATGAAGTGAATCTAGTTTCACCAGGTTCAAGATTGCATTTTTCCTCTTGCATTCCAAAAGTGTCATCTTGCTATACAGTGTAGGTTATGACAACCCATCAAGAAGCATTTTGCTTCAAAATCAAAACATGTATATACAAGGTTTTGAAACCGAACAGAAGAACCAATATCTCCAATATCTAAGCAATTTCAATTTATATGCATTTCTCACTTTAAGATCATGTTAACCAAATTGTCTATTTGACTGTGGTAATACCTGTTATTAAGTAAAATATTAGAACATTTGATGTCTCGATGCAAAAAGTTCTTCTTGTGGCAGTAGTCCAGACCTTCCATTAGTTGTCTCATGAAGGATTTGATATGGTTTTCAGTGAAATGCACTAATCCCGATTCCAAGAGACCCATTAAGTCATGGTCCATATATTCAAACACCAAATAAAATGCACCTGAAATAGACAGATAGAAAACATTATAGAAGGAACAAAATCAGAAACTACTAGCTAAAATGTCAACTTTTAGGATGTTGTCAAGGAACATAAAGTTCAAATACAAACCAAACATATTCACACAAGTGGGAAAGGTAGGGCATTGAAAGCAATAGATGATTAAAGATACAGAAAAGTGATATTGAAAAAGGAAGTGCAGGATAAATGAAAGATTTATCATTTTAGTTAAATGTCCAAGCTGAAAACAATAAGTACAAACAACTGGAAAAGCAAGAGGGACTACAAGCATTACAAGAACAGGTTACTGTGTAATGTAAAAGGGAATGCAAAGTCCCATAGTAAATTGATCATGTGAAAGGAAAACTGGAATTGCTGAGACACTAAAAGGAAACCTTCTCGTGGTTGCAAGAGCGTTGTTATTTTACATTTTTAAAAACACTGGTTAGTGCCCAACTGTATAAACATTCAGTTGTGGGTATCACACTTTCAGAAGGATGTCTTCATCTCTTTGAAACAGTGCAAAGAAGATTTACCAGGACGTTACTAGAGTTGAAATCTTCAATTACACTGAGACTAAAGAATCCGCTGTTGTTCTCATGGCACATACAGTTAAGAGGAGGTTTGACAGAGGTTTCTGAATCTGGAAGGATTTTGGTTCAAGAAAAAAAGTTTCTCAGGGCAGAAGGATCAGTAGCCAAAGCATGAGATTTTAAAGGAATTGGCAAAGGGACTAGAGGCAATGTGGGGAGAAAACACACAGAAAATGATGATGATCTGGAATCCTGTGTCTGAAAGGTTAACGGAACCAAATTCAACATCAACATTCAAAATGGAATTGAATAAGTAAATGGAAGAAGTTGCAGGACTACAGGGCAAGCGTAGTGAAGTAGAAACTTTCAGAGATTCTTTCAGAGATCCAGGCATGACAGGCTGAATGGCTTTCTTCTGAGCTGCATCATAACAGTTCCCAAAGAATTCACTGTACTGAACTATTTAAGTGGATGAATGGATAGATGACATCCTATATAAAGCCAAGGCGTCAGAAAAATCACCTGCAGGAAATACAATGCAATTATTCATTTACAGATATCAAAAAAAACAACTTTTGGATTTCAGAAGGGAAACCTGCAAATTAGTTTATTTCTGTATTGGTGACTGCAAAGATTCTTATTGAATTCATTCAGATCTACTGGAACTGAACGAATGCAGGCTTATGGAATAGCAGTGGTGTCTCACTGGATTAAACAATGGATTTAAGGACAGAAAGCGAACAGTCGTTATAGATGGTTACCCCACAGATGATTCATCTAGCATACTGGCTACATATAATGGGCTTCAAGAAAGCATGTAGTCATGATAGATGGTTATTTTCCAGACTGGAGGGTGGTGGGGATTAACACTCTCCAAGGGTCAGGGCAAGGACCTCAGCCTATTTTTTTTGCTGTTTAAAAATGACTTGGAAAACAGAATAAGATATCAAATATTTGCCAATTATATCAAATTTCAGGATGGCAAACAGTGAGGATGAAGGGAATTGTCAGCAAGTAGCTACAGGATAAATTAACGAATTGGGCAGACAAGTAGTGGGAAATTGAGGGGGAGATTTGATAGGGTATACAGGATTATGTCAGCTTTAAGTAAGAGAGGCAAGGAAAAACTCTTTGCATTATCTAACAATACAAGGAATGAGGGGCACTGATTTAGGATTTTGGAAAAGGGTTGCTGGGAGAATGTCAGAACGAACAAATCAGAGGATGGCTGAAAGTCACCACAGTGGAATTCTAGGAGACATCGCCACAGTCATCATGATTGTGCATCAGGTCAGAGAGAACTTGGCGTCAACAGCCAGTGGTACTAGAGGAGCAGACACATATAGAGATTGCAGATACCTGTAGGAATAATAGAGTAGTATTGGTTGGAGATATGAATTTCCCCTGTATTGATTGGGCCACCTAGAGTGTAAAAGGCCCAGATGGGGTGGAATTTGTTAAATGTGTCCAAGAAAGTTTTCTAAATCAATACACAGAAGGCCCTACTCAGGACCTCCTTTTCGGAAACAAGGGCGGGCAAGTAACTGAAGTGTCAGTCGGAGAGACTTTGGATCCAGCGACCATAACTCTCTCAGTTTTAATGTAGCAATGGAAAAAGATGGAAAAGGTCCACAGGTTAAGGTGCTAGACTGGAGCAGGGCCAATTTTGGGGCCATTAGGCAGGATCTAGCAGCGGTCAATTGGGCGAGTCTGTTTGAAGGAAAAGGAACGACTAGCAAATGGAAGGCTTTTGAAAGTGTGACATCAAGAGTCCAGGGATAGTATGTCCCTGTTACACTGAAGGGAAAAGCTGGCAGGTTTAGGGATCCCTGCCTTACAAGATATTGAGGCTGTGGTCAGGAAAAAGGAGGTGGCATACATTGGGTTTAAGCTATTGGGCTCAGGTGAATCCCTAGATGACTATAAAAAGTGTAGGAGCATGCTTAAGAGGGAAATAAGAAGAGCAAAAAGACAGTATGAGATGGATCTGGCAGGTAGGGTAACGAGAATCCCAAGAGGGTCTATAG